TACAAAGCCCTAAATGGTTTAGGACCTCGATATCTAGTAGAACGCCTCCTCCCACCTAGATCTACCCGAATCACTCGTTCTAGTCAGGAAGGACACTTAAGGGGCCTAATGCCGAGGGAGGCCCAGAGAGAAAGAACAAGAAACTGGACCTTCTCGGCAATGGCCCCTCGTCTTTGGAACAGTCTCCCCTCAGAGATCTGTCTGGCTCCCTCGCTGGGTGTTTTTAAGAACCAACTTAAGACCTGGCTCTTTAGGCAGGCTTTCCCTCCTGTCATATCACTTGATTACTTTTAATTTTTTCCCCATCTTGAACTATATTATTATTGTTGCTTTTTATTTTATTATACTCTTTTTATTCTACTTTTATTGTTGGCCACCCAGAGTAGACATCTGTCTAGATGGGCGGGGTATAAATTTAATAAATAAATAAAATAAACTTGTAGTGACCTTAACAGGTCTTTCAAGGTGAAATATTTAAGGATTGGTTTTATTAGTTCCACGCTCCCAGGGAGTTTCCATGACCTAATGGGGATTCAAACCCTGTTCTCCAGCATCACTACACAACACGGGGAATCTTTTTCTTTATTGCTTCTAAAAATAAATTTAGAAGCAGCAAAAGACAAACCATCCTCTTTTAAAACGTCTCCTAGACAGCTAGTCACTTAAGGCAAAACCAATAACACACCTGTAAAGGTATTGGGAATGAGAGAAAGGCCTCCCTTGATGGTTTGAACACCTGGGCAGGCTCATAAAGTAAGCATTGGCAGAGGAGCGCCTGGATTACACTACTTGTCTCAATTCCCAGTGGCTATAGACCAATTAATAGCGTTTCTACACAGGGACCTGCAAACATAAGTTCCACTGCATATCAGCTCGGAATGGGCATCTATATGTTTTCGGTTGTTTTTTTCCCAGCATGAATAACTTGCTTTTGAAGATTAGAGCCAGTTGGAATCAGTCAAGTTAGTCTAATCTTCATCCCTCCTGCATACGTTTGTACCTCTCGTGACCCTTATGACCCAATGAATTTTTGTGTTCATTGGTTATTTTATTCCATGCTTTAACAAAGCTTTGTAAGCTTTAACAAAAGCTTATAAAAGGAAGCAGCTTAAACATTAGAGCAAGAACAGCTTTTTATTGAAAGTCACATATTTAAATTGAAGTAACATAGCTAAATAAAGTTTATGTTTTTGTATTTATGAGAGTCTGAATGTATGTACTCTACACTGTTATAGCAGGGTGATGCCATTTGAACCGCCATGACTCCCTTCTTTCTGTTTTATCTTAGTTTTTGAGTGTAAAACACCCAGAGTGGGCTTGTATCCAGGTGGGTGGTATAGAAGTAAAACAAATAAATTCTAAAGAATTGTGGGACTTCTAGTTTGGTGAGATGGTGGTAATGAGAATTCTCTGTTGTGATTCAGGGAAGACTCACTAAAACTTTTATCTAACAGAATTTGGCCAACTGCAAACTCCAGGGTTCTGTGGCAGTTCAAAGACAATGCATTCATGGAATATTGTTGCCCACACCTACAACAATGGACAGACCAACAGGGGTGGGTAAAATTTACCCTTATAGAAAGACACACACAGAGAGAGTTTCAAATGGACTCGGTGGCCAGGGGTGCCTTCCTTCCAATATTAAAAGCACAATACAGAAAATTATTCAGATATTTAAAAAGAATTAACATTATATTTAAAATGTTAGGTAGAAGCATTACTAAAATTAAATTGGTGTACAGTATGTGTGTTTTGTGCTATCAAGTTGAATCCTCCAGTGCTGCCTGGAGGCTGTACTGCAATGGATGCAGGAAAATGGGCTGAGGCTGAACCCAGACAAGACGGAGGTCCTGAGGGTGGGTGGCCCCTCCATTGGTGGTTTGGGAAACTCTT